ACGCATGAGTTTTTTTTTTTTTTGAGCGCTCGTTTGTGAAAGCTGTGGTCAGCGTTCGATATCGCGACCTGTGGGCCAGCAGCCGAGTACCTTAGCCACTAGACCACCGTGGCAAGGACAGACAATAAAGCACATGAGAAAGAACAGCCAGGCGCCATATAGTGCGAATTGTGCAACGAGTAGGTCATTGAATGCTCTAACTCTTTACAGAAGTTTATTCTTGTTCATTCATTAACTTTTGCGCATACCCACTGTGGGGACTGGCGTGGAGAACAAAAACTTCTGGTATAATTTTTTATTGTCGTCAGCCACATCACACACAAAAAATGAACACAGTTCCTTGAAGGTATGCTGCGAGTAGCACGCTTCTGCGATGAATCACGAACGATGGCACAGCGAATGCTTGCATACGAAATAATGATTATTGACGTACCTTGTAAATATGCTCAAAGCAGGATTTTAATTCTCTTAGGGCAACTGCTATAAGGGCACTTGCAAGGTACTCGCTATGCCATAAATCATCATAACTTCACTATGCATTCACTAAGTCATCCTTCCAGGAAACGTGGCACCCGCTACACAATTGCAAATAATTTCGTGTAATTTTTTATGCTGTGGCTGACGACCATGAAGAATTATGCCGGAAGCTTTACCCATGGGTGGGAACAATGGGCGACATGGTCGATAAGCAATTCACATTGATGTCGAATTGTTCCTTGGCTATCCTAAAACGTTTTACTACTCGTTATAACACTATTCCCTTCGCGACATCAAAACTACCTTCGGTCACTTAGCAATGAAGTTTCAAGCACCGGCAAGGCACAGTGGTGCAGCACTGGATTGGCACGCAGGAGACCCGAGTTTGAATTACATCATCACCCTGTTGTTTTTAATTCTCTTAACTTTTTTCCCCTTTCGCGGGATAGTGGTTATGGACACCGGTGGTGGTGTGGGTAGCAGTGGTGGTGATGGCGGACAACCATAGCGCACGCGACTCTTGTGATCTCAAACAGCTTTCGCAGTAATATATGTTCCTGTAGAAAGTGATTGTCGTACTTTTACAAACTGCTGCACCGAATTTGTGTGCCCTCTCTTAGCTCATTTTTTTTCTCAACTTCTTTTTATTAGCATATTTCCTAACTGAAGTTAAAAGTTATGCAGTGCTGTATATATAAGATGCCCTTCTTGGGAGCATGTCAACCATAGATACGCTCAAGCATGGAAATGAAACACACTGCTCACACAGCACGACAAAGGCAAGAGACGACGATGCACCATGGAAGAGGGCTGTTTCTGTTCCTTGTCTCAGTCGCTGTGTGCCTTTTATAGCAATGAACCAAGTTGCCAAGGTGAAGGTCATCCTGCTGACATTGTCCCCTGACCTCATTTCTGACACTTTTAACGTTCAAATAAAATTACCATGTCAAAACTTGTACCGTTGCAGCATATTTAATCAATCACAATTGTAACCTAATGCACAAGCATATCAGATTGAGCTATGTGGGACTCACTTCTCCAAAAAATGGCTGCTCGTTGATGTCGGAATATCTAAGAAAATTGATTGTAAAAAATGACAGCTTTAAAGTGTTACTGTGCACGCCATCACGAATGCTTTTAGCTACACGTACGCTGCGTGTGGTGAGAACAACTACGTATCTGCGTCTGCTGGGAATCATGAACACTGCGGTAGCCAATTCTCGACAGGCAATCTTGTTGTTGCTCTCGTCACGCTATCTTGTTTTGAGCGCCCGCGCCACGCTGTCTACGTGCGCGAGAAGCGCAGGCACCGAATCGAGTCTTTACACGACCGTTAAGCCAGCACGCGGCCGCTATGTTCTGCGCATGTGCAATGCTTACAAGTAGAAGCTCGACGTACGCAGAGCCTCTACGTACGTGAAACTAAAACTGTCTTTTATGTTAAAACGAAATTTACAACAAATTCCGCATCCCACTTTCGGACTTGTTCCACGGTCAAATTGTATCGGTCGCGAAACAAGGAACGAAAATTGTTGAAACCCTATTGCCACAGGGCTTAATGGCTGCCGACGATTGAAGCGCAACGTTAGGTGAAAAGGGCATAAAAATGAAAACCAAAAGCTCAACGAATTTTTTCTCTTTTTTTTTGAATAGGCATCACTTGAAAAATGCCGAAGTTAACCAAAAATTTGTTTTGCTGTTTGTCTGACACTTGGCTAATTAGCTGATTGCCTCATTTTATGATGCAGTGCCTCAAATGGGGGCGTATCCAATCAATCTGCTATAAGGCCTTGCGACTAGTTTGGCGCGACGCCAGATCGACGACCCATCGGTCACTTTTGTGTGGTTTGTCGTCTGTGCCTTTGCTAGTTTATTTGCTTATGAGCTGCTCACTGGCGGGACGTGTCAGTGCCTAACTATCTCACAAAATGTGTAGATAGACGCTCCTGTGATTGTTGACTGCTTCTTCGGGCGCACGGCTGGCGTGCCTTCGCTTTTTGTGATGGTGAATGCGCTACGCGAAGCGACGAAACGTTATAAGGTTGCTAGAGCAATATTCTCAAAGTTGCCTTCTCGCTGCTGTTGTTATCCACGATTAGAGATAACGTGGGTTTTCTTACTTTTGTGATATCGGACTCGTGAACAGTTGTTTCACAATTTCTCCTTCTCCAAAGTTTTTGGTGTATAACTGAAGTGCACAATTGGGATAATCAAGCAACCTTGCTTCGTCAATCTTTCCTTTCGGCATTTTCCTTTTCTCTAGTGCAGCCCCGCTGCGGTGGTCTAGTGGCTAAGGTACTCGGCTGCTGACCCGCAGGGCGCGGGTTCGAATCCCGGCTGCGGCGGCTGCGTTTCCGATGGAGGCGGAAATGTTGTAGGCCCGTGTGCTCAGATTTTTGTGCACGTTAAAGAACCCCAGGTGGTCTAAATTTCCGGAGCCCTTCACTACGGCGTCTCTCATAATCATATAGTGGTTTTGGGACGTTAAACCCCACATATCAATCAATCAATCAATCTTTTCTCTAGTGTACGCGAATTTACAACTGTAAAGGCGCAATGAGGTCGCGTATATAAAGGCACCTAAATAGGGCACGCGTATTTAAAGTCAGGTACTAAAAGATATTTAAATGATCAGCAGTTAAGGTGAAATTCAATTTCGCGCCATGAAGACAAGTGCGCACGCGACGTCTACATTACTTCTGGACATGACATTATATTGTCTTTATCTTTTCATTGTAGTAAGCTCCTCCCCCCCCCCCCCCATAAGTGGGTGTCGACGGTGGCAACGGGCTACCGACTATTAGATACAGGGGCATCTATGGAAGGTGCGCTAACAGTTTACATATACCTTGCTTTTCTCGCTAACCCTGGCCTTGGTGGATGACACGCAGTGCACACGCGCACTCCTCGCAACATACCGCCAGCAAGTCCCCCCTGGCCATTCAATGTGCTGGCTTATGAAGCATGCGCGCATGACGGCACATGCATTCACAGTGGCACGAATGGCTGCTTATCAACACCGCTGCGGGGGAGGGTGCGAGTTGATAGAAGATTCCCACAGCTATTACAATGCGGAATTTGAGCGGTGTATTTGTATTACAAAAGTGCAGAATGTCCTAACTATACTGGATACCTGTTAAAATGGCGACCGACGATCACGCACTGTACAGGCTGGCAAATATTCCGCTCTGTACAGCAGCTAGTACTTCTACAGTCGGCAGTACAATCTGATCCATAATGAAATACGTGATCTTTATGCATTACAGATAAAGCGTATCGCTGGGATTTGCTTCAGTTTCGCAACAAACTCGAATAGTCGTGCTATGCGCGCCATTTCACTGAAGCTGCCTGAAGCATGCAGTCTCAAAGTATCGCGAATATTGAGGGAAGGCTTGCGTCGTGTGGCAGTAACAGCTTTTTGTTAGTGAAGCTCCATCACATAACAATGAGCAAAGAAGCGTGAGGGGCAATACTTTCTCCGATCAAGCAACATGCCGATGGTGTGAACGAAGACAAACATGAAAAAAATTGTCTTCTTTGTCTTTCGAGAAACGCAATATGAAATGAGAAATAATTTTCTATAACTTTGTTATCTTACATAGTACGAACGAGAAAGCACCCCTTGAATGACCTCGGAGCACGGGCAGTGCCGCTGTGCGTTCGTTATGTTTTTTGAAGCAACGTCGCACTCTTATGTGCCCAGACGTCGAAGTACTCTTTACGGTCCAAAGTACTGCCTAAGTTTCTGGATGTGTCCACTCTGACGCGCTTGCGTTTAAACACAAACATGGTCTACGGGATGGTAATGTACGAATCATTGTCAAATATCGTAGTGATGGCAGTCAGGAGTATTCTGGCGGTGATCATATACAAACGGCTGACCTATTGGGCTTTATCGGATCATACAGGATAAGAGAAAAATTAAGGTTGTCTTCACCGGTGACTCTTGGTTACATAGTGTAAAGCGTCCTTGCAGCGTTCTTTCCGTATAAACTAGGCTGAAATGTACCATGTATTCTTTCCTCTGCCACTGTATAGTAGGCGAAGGTTGCATGCAAGGAAACAGTGTGCTGATTCTTCCATTTAACGTCTAATTAGAGTACGGCCCATTCTTACAAGAAACACAAGCAATGGTGGTTGTCGGCTTTTTGGATAGACTTGGAGAATACAGCTTCACAGAAGTATTCATCGGCCACATGCTCATTTAGCCGTGTATTTGTCTGCTGCACTCCGTTATTAGTCACTAACTTAGTAAACAAGCTTTATTAGTGTCCTAAGGAACTACAGAGTCATATTTATAGGTGGCGCCCCCGTGCGGATAACGGGTGCTTACTGAATTTGTTGGCCTGGCCATACAAAAACCACAATTCCAGAATAAATATTACATGGCTGTACCTCTCATACTTGTGTCATGCTAAATTGTTTTATCTTACAATTGCTGAGAAATGACAATCTACAGGTTTTCAGAACTATTTTATTCAAAGCAATTACCATGCGAAAGCTACAAGTGCACTTCCTTTTGTTAAAGTTTTGGTAATTCAAGAAAGACCGATTCATTATTTCAGATGTGGTCGCCATTACCGACCAGACCTCTGTCTCTCATTTGCAGACAACATTACTTGCGGTGCAGGTGGACGCATACGCGTCTACATAGTTGTTTTCAGCTTTCTTCCTCAATAACGAAATACATTTTACATTGAACGGCGTATCGTATGAATCGCGCAAGCGCAACTCGTAGATCGCACCTGCAAAATAAATGAAAATTCAGACCTTTAATGCAACTTCACGGGCACTCGTAAAACTTACGACTATTCCAAGAAATATAATCTATTAGAGCTTACATATTTCACGTCTCTTTTTTTGTGTGTGTGTTCAGCAAGGCGGGTGCACATACGTGTACGAGCAGTACAAGCTGGTAAATCCCTGCCTCATCAGTAACTATGTTTTAGCATCGTTCAAATAAATATGTCAGCTCAAACATTGCTACGCATGCGGTTCTCCTGAGTGGCATCATGTCATCGGCGCACCCAGCTGTGTTAGTAACGCACTGTGACAAATTATTCTGTGTAATTAGTCGACCCAACAAGAGCTGGATGATTGAAATGCAAACCGCCTATTTACGTCCGGCCGTAATGCCATCTCTATCTCACCAGCATGGATGCACATACGAGTGTGAGTAATAAAAGCGAGGTAATCATGGTTACATTACCTACAAAAGTATCACAATCATTTCGCCAAACCTCTAGGGATCGTAAAAAATAAACGCTGAATCGAATACTAGTACGCCGTGAAAGCGAATGCTTGTCATCAATGTCCCGTCTTTCGTTTAATCAAAATATTTCATTAAACTGTTGTATTGGTCGATTATGGCGATCCCTTGTCCTAAAACGGCGTCATGGCTGAAGCACGTGAGTGCGAGGCAGATGATGACGAGACGTAGTAGTAGAGAACTAATCTCTGTTTTTCACTACAGTACTCGAGTAAAACGAGCTTGGAGTTGGTGGCGGAGCCGCCTCTAAGAGTAAGAAATGAACTCGCTGAGTTGCTGTCGCCGTCACGTTCCAGATATGTATAATCGTCTAAGTATATAAAAAAGGTACAAAAAATAAATAAGAAAATTTCAAGGCACACACCAGAGATTCGAACCGGTGACGCCTCGCTGCTGAGCGGGATGCAGTAACCAACTATGCCACGCTGTTTTTTTTTTTTTGTGGTACATAATAGTGTTTGCGTAATGAAGACAAAATCAAGCAAACAAAAGTACAATCACATGGCGACAATAAGCACTGAAGCATTACTGGTGAACACTTAACGGCTAACACAGCATCAGTTCCTCACTTCCGGAGTTCTTACATCGCGTTTTACAAATAAGAAAGAGGTGAGGCCAAACATCTCTCCAAGATAGAGTACCAGTACGGTCTAAAGTCTAGGTCGTCGTGAATGTCTTTGAGGTGATAGCCATTTTACTGAAGTGTGTGCTCTTAGAGGTGGTGGGTTCTGCATTGCGGCCCTGCATTCGTGTCATCCAGAAGCTGTGCATTCCCATAAGAAAAAAACATATATGGTACTACATCAAACAATGCTGGTACACGGTAGCGTATGGCGTGACAATTGATGACGAAACGCTCTTTCAGTGCTCGCTGAAGGACATCCAAAACAGAATGACAACTTTGCAGCTAACAAAGAAATGTTCAATTGTTTCTGGCACAATACACAGACGGCAGTAACCAGAATCAATAAAAATATCTTTTCCTTTTAACCGTGTGTTTACAGCCAATGTTTCAGAGTGGAGTTTATAGAAGAACGTTTTGAAGCTTGCGGAATGTACAGTTTGCGCACTCGCTTCTACACTTCGTGACCTGGAAGATCGGAGTACAGTGAGCGGAACAACGAAAGTGGGAAGAGAATGCTTGGTATATCCTAACGTGCAAGTTCCCTTGCTTTATGTATCATACCGTCCATTGCACTAACAGCGAGTTATGCATATACATCACTTGCAACTGGCTTATTGTCAATGAACTGGAAAAGAACATTCTTGAGCATAGCACGCATGTACTACACTTGCACACGCCATACATGCTTTCCCTAAAGATTGACGTGTCCGATGGCTTCTTCATGGAGGGGTGGCTTCTCTCAAGCACATACAGTCAGATGAAAATGGCATTCCAAAATATAGCTGGCTCCAAGATATCGCTAAAGTAACCGGAAAAAATTACTCGCAAAAACCCAGCACTGTGCGGGAAGTCGCTGATTTTGTTGTCCCTGCGAATTCGGTGCCCATCAACACGCGCACCGCCACTTTCACTTCACACAGAAAAACTCAAATTACTGTACCAGTTGAATTCGGTGACCCTTGCACCGTTAAAACATCACACAGCTTCGTCGTCGCAACAGTGCACATGTCACCAAGAGGCTTCAGAACTTACGTCATGAACTTCTTGCTACACAACTCCCATGCGGCGTGCCAACAGAGTGTACTGGTGATAGCCACCGGAGACTTACAGGTTATTGTACTTCGATGTATAAACCAGTGGTTTGTCACGTTTTTCGCGGCCTAACTTGGACTTCGCCTTCTGTTGGACGTCATGCGATCAACTATTCACAACACTGCCTCTTTAGATACTGTGGTTACTGCATTACTGTCAATTCAAGCACAATAGCACGTCGTCACAATCACCTGCCCATCAACTTTCGCTAAAAATGTAACAACTCATCTCTGTCAGTGAAACTTTATGGCAATGTATATACCCACACCTATGTAGCAATATTTTATACTTTGAATGTAGCAAAAGTTGTATATTTTGTATACCAACCCCTTATGTGGCAAATGTTTTTTATATCCTGTACATCCACCCCTTATGTAATACCCCCTTGTGGGGTCTTTAAGGAAATAAAATATGATGATGATGATGAATAGGCCATGTTCTCTACATTTCGTATCGTTCATAAATCTTCTAGCCTTACTTTGCATAACATACCGATTTGTTGTCATCGCATTCATACATTCCGCCTTCATCGTTTTTTTTTAATGGAACTCATCGTGCGAAGTGCCGCGGCTATTCATCACACTTGCAGTTTTTTTGCCGGAACCGAGAGCGATCGACAGGGTCCAGGTGAAGGTTCGGCCAAAATGTATATCACGAGTAACCCTCGTGCCACACTGACATGCCGTCAACTTCAGCTAATGTTTACATATGCTGCACGAAAAAATCGATGGATAAGCAATGATTTCTACGTGCAGCAGTGTTACGAGCATTTATTTATTAAGTTCAGTGCCGAACGTCAAGCATGCACATATGCTAACGAACTAAAACTTGCACACCTTACCAATTACTTTGCGCAATATAACATTTGCTCGCGAATGCAGCGTTGACAAACCTCCGTATGTCAAGCTCGCTTGTGAAGCTTGCGCGCTGAAAATAAAGCTACTTATTATTCGTGAAGGCCGTCTGCAACGTGTGCCACAACGCCGATGTCGTGGGCATTTAGCTTCGCCCCGTATTCAACGCTTTGTCTTTCGCTTGAGTTGGTGGTGATGGGGTCGAAGTCAAAGTGCCCAGTGTACGCAACTCCGTAAGCGCTTCTGCTGCTATACTCTGTTTAAACACTTTAATTCAGCAAACAAAAAAAAAGCAACGGGGTGTATGAAAGCCACACGCTTGCGTCGCGAAACGTAATCCTACATACGAATGCCTCAAAATTAACAGGCTTGGCTAGAATTGCCTTTTATTTGGTGTATTTTACGCTACTTTGATACATGATATGTTTATTCTTCTAAGCATTTATTTGTTACGTATTTAGATATTTGTATCGGCTACCCCAGATAGCTGTGCTTATAAAATAACATGGCAGCATTCATGCAGATTTCATTTCCCACTTCGATCTGTACTTTCTTTGCTATACGCCCACTGCGCTGACAGCAATAAAGAAATGGTAAAATCAGCCATGGAATAGACCATATGCGAAATTGCTTTGTGCTCTGGCAACACTGCATTTTGACCCCGCCGCCATTTTAATGTGGGCGAGCGGTCGACGGCAACGCGTTCGCTGGTACGTCCGTACAATTCCAGAACACTTGCTTCGCTGCGCGGAGCTACTGCGATGGCCGCAGCAAGACGTTTCCCAGTGCCCGAACATGTGATGTGGACAAACTGTTTAGAAAACTTGCCGCATCTATCGAATAATACTGTAGCAAACCTTATAAAGCAGGCTCCGACGTCATCCAAGCAGCAAAATAAATCTCATGCCTTCGCCGTGGAAACGTACACCTTGCCATCGCGATTTTCTTGTTTTTTTTTTGTTTTATCGTTTCGGACAAAAGTGCATTTTCACCTTCAAGTGAGCTGTTGAGCCTAGTGGGTTCCTCTAAACCTACCGGTGCTTCCTCCACTTCATCTGGGCTATGCATAGGCTCATCGCCCAGCACTCCTGGGCCTAAAGCCGGGTTTTGGCTTCTTACTTGTGGTGAAGCATGTGGCTTTGGGGGCTTCCGTTTTTTGTTTTCCTTGGAAAAAGCATAAACTGATGGAACTGCTGAGTCCCGAAGGAGGCTGCGGCCACTCGCAACGCTAGACATGAAGTCCGATGACCTAAAATGCTTCGAGCAGACCTTTGTTGACTTGCCGACTTGAAATTCCAGGCTTTCATCCTTCTTGATCGCAACAATCCTTTTCTTGTGTATTATTGCATCTTTCGGAAAGCGGTGGAAGGATACCTACTACATATAAGCAAACAAACGTTCAGTGCGACGTCATGAGCTAGGTTTCTCTTAGCTATTTAAACGAATGTTGTTTACAAACATAGGCACTATCATAAATTCATCTCACAAGGAATGGAGGTCACACTTATACGTGCACTGCAGGACTAATAATGCGCTAGTAATTTGACCCCCCCCCCCCTCAGTTTTATCTGTGCACACTCCCCTTTCCTAGCAGCCTTTCCTAGATATGGCCCTTCACAGTAAGCCCTAAGAGGCATTAGTCACTTGTGGACGCTCGAAGGAATAAAAATCAGTTATTTTTTATCTCTAAGTAGCTTCAAAGGTTTCTTGGAGCTCTGAGTGTAAGGCAACCAAAAGGCAGAATCCCATACAACTAAGTTACAGCTGTCTCCCCAGCTGTATGCTTTATGATGCAATATGAAACATTTTTCAGGTGAGGTGAGTTGCAACACAAAAAAAAACAGCTGCAACGCAACTGAGCCAAAGAGACTAAAATGCAGAGAATGAATACTGTCTCGCGAATAAATGGGACTGCCGCGCTCTGAACTCATGCAGAACAACATTCAATCAAGCCCCGGCGATGCTCATGGTGCCAGTTTTCGAAACCTACGGCAGTGTGCACCGCTATCTTTTCGATTTTATTTCGTTGGTAATGGAAAATCAGTGAGAGAGGCCCCAATGAAAAAGTTGCGTTCGTGCACGTTGGGAGAACTGAAGTTTGGCGCCCGAGCAGATACTTTGCTGTTCGAAAGTGGGCATAGCCCTTATCTTCCGAATGACTGTTTATGCTGCATGGTGACCGGACACAACGGAGCTTGAACGCAGACAAGCAACCGAGCTGCCTTTCTAGGATGCGTGTACAGCATGTTACTCGGAGTAGTGGAAGCTCTGCACGTCTCTGTGCGTAATCACCGTAAAAAATAACATTTCTAAGTCGTCTACCTACATGTTGTAATCTCATTTCAAAACAGCCCGTCCTAACAGTTCGGTTCTATCACACTAGTTACCCCAACAGCAGTGGCGGACTCTCCATTTGACTGCAGGGAATCACCGGTGCTCTTCCATTTACCATCTCAGACTCACCGCGCATAGTCCACGGGAAGTCCGAGGCTTCCCCGAAGTCATAGGAAAATGCCTCACAGCTTCTCAGCGAGTCCACGGTGAGTCCGAGACGGTAAATCGAAGAGCACCACTGTCGTGTACAGGCCCGGCGTAGTAAAAACACCTAGCCGCAAAGCTGACAAACCTATAAAAACACAGCCTGTCTGTGTGACACAGAAAAATGGTTAGTCCTGCATTGCTCTCGTGCAGCCCGCGCACCGCGGAGATTAATGCATCCTAGAATGTGCCCATAAAGGTTTTGCACGCCATGCCCTGTTTTGCGTTTAAATAATCGATGCAAAATTGTAATTCACGCCACATATGTTGCTCCCATCGCTGTCTGTGACTCCGCGCTGCTTACACAGCGGTACACAGCAGTGTACTTGCATTTCGCCAGCAAAAAAAATTAGACTGCGACAGTCGAAGCGTCGAAACGCGTACGTTCGCATGTGGGTCGCCCACGCGTAGTGGTCAAGCCTCGCCAGCATCAAAATGGCAGATATGGTACCTGCTGCGTTCAACAGATGGCGCTGTTAATTTCGCATATTGCCTATTGTTTCATTTCACTCTGGGACTAAATTATCAGGTACGTTTTGTTGATATTAGTAATATATGTTCTTCGCTTTGCAGCACCTGTTAAGCGTTACACACCGAGGCAGTGTTTGGACAATAATTGAGTGTAGCGCAGTGTACAAAATTGTAATAATTAGTGAGCAGGAAAGAGGTGCTCCTTTCCTGTTAAGGAAAGGGGCGCTCTTATCTGACGTGAGTGCCGACGTTATGTCACACTGGAGCCCCGTTTTTGGTATCAGTGTGTTTGTTGCGTTTGATTTAGCCCACAATATGCTCAGTATATGTGCATAGCTAATCAAGCTACGTAAAAAAGTTACCGCACCTGGCAACGCTTCACTCAAAATAAAAAAAATAACTGCGCCATGCGCTGCTGCTCGCTTACTGATTCGCATGACATCCATTCAAATAATACCTCGAACCAGACATAAACCTTGCAACAAGGAAAGTTACTTACGAGAGTGACTGTATGTTGGTATAAGGTTGAGGTATATTTTAAAGACTCCGCAATGAAATCCTGGGTCGGCATAGAGTAACTGCTCGATACGTTTGCCCATGATGCCTGCAGGAAATAAAACATCTTCCTTCTAGAAAATATATTCCTCTGAAATATACACTGTATTGGGAACATACTGCGGTAACAGGTTGACATGTTTGCTACTTTTGCGCGAATTTCGCTATTTTCTTGCGCCGGTAGCGGCAGGAAAGCATCTTGGCTACTCGGTATTTTGTGGCTAGTTGTTCAGTCGGCTTGAACAAAAAATATAATGTTATGTAGTGATCTTGCAGCTACTTGTGTTAGAGCATATGGCGTCAAAACAGAGTAGCCCAGACATATTGTCATCTCTTAAAATATAATACCGCACTTTCGTTGCACAATAACAACACGATTTTAAATACATGACCAGTATACACGGTAAAAAATCTAGCATGGTACCTCATTTTGGGCCAACGCAGTGTTGAACGCGTATTTTAGAATAACTGAATGTACGAATTATTTAGTTATCAAATGAGGGTTATAAAACATGGAACTGGGCAGTATAATTGCTTATTGAGAGTTTTGTACTCACTGGCTCTGTTACTGGATATCCGACAAACTTGTTGCGTCTCCCGTTATGTTTAGTCTTCTCGTGCAAGGAATATTTAGGCAGCTAGATTAATGTTTGAATCAACAAAACTTTTCGGGGCATCATTATTAGCGTGACTTTGTGCATGGGAGGACAAAGGACTCGAACTTATTCTGTCGATCAATGCATACCCTTTGCTTTCTACCTGCAAAACCCTTACTCTTCTGCTCAGCTAAGTTTCTGTCTTGCCCTCACCCGTCTGCTTTGTCATGAAATACAGTCTGGCATTATTAATGACCAGCGGTTTTTTTCCTACGCGCTGCGTTAGCATGCCTATGCCAATAACCTCATGATTTTGACCAAACACTTTTTTAAAACCCTTTGGTCATTGACCATTTATTGCCCCTGTAGCTTACATGTTTTCTATTCAACTGATCGTGACGTTGTCCTAAATTTAGGCCACTGGTTGCTGCTCCGTAGGCTAATAGCAGTATGATGCAGCTTTTGTATACATTTCTCTTGAGCAATCGATCATTTATGATTTGAGAACGCCTGCTGAATATACTCCGCCTCATAGTTGTTAATCTAGCTACTGCACTCATACATTTGTGCGGTACTACTGAACTCATAAACTTCGGCGGTATCACTACTACTGAGTAAATGTATTACTTTAGCACCATGTTAACTTGGCAATAATTGCTGTGTTGAAAAACGCTCGCGAAAATTTGCGATAAAAGACAAGGAAATCAGAATATAAACCGCAAAAAATTTTAAGTTGAACTGAAATATGAGAAAAAAATTTAGATTTAAAAAAGAGAGACATAGAGAAAGAAAACAGGAAGAGAAATAAAGTGTGAAATACAGAAGAAAAGAAGAAGCAAGGAATTGAGAGAAAGAAACAGAAAGTAGGAAAGAAATGTTAGATATAATGAGGAAGAAATTCTCAATATATCTTAAAAGTAAAAGAAAAAGTAAATATAATGAGGAAGTAAACGAAGGAAAGGAATAGAAAAAAACAGGCAGGAAAAATAGAAAAATCAAGATGTGAATAAAGCAAAGGACAGAGCAGAAATGAAAAAAGCAAGATAAATAAAAAGAAAAAGTTGGCCCCGTTCAGCACTTCCGTTAGCCTTGCGAATGAAGACTCGCGAATAAACTGCCGTGATGTTTTAAGCAGTCATCCTGTTACATATTTTGAAAAATTCATAATGAATGGCGCTATTGTGGGAAGTTCACAAGGACGCCATTCTCGCGAGTATGCATGAAAGGTGTCTACCGTGTTCTATGCTTCTCTCTCCGCAGATATGATAAAAAAAAAGCAGTCAAAATATAATTACGAGAATAGCGATAAGAATACAGCACCGGCATTTTTATGGCTGTAGACTTAAAGAAATATGCGAGATTGATGACAGCCCACTCGTATTGCAGGATCATCCTACGATCCTACGTTGGCAGCGCTTGACAGGCCAACACCAGCAAATCTGAGTGCCATTGGCGCACACGAAGTGTTTGTTAGATTATATCGCAGGTAGTCTGTAACTTATGCCATATTTATTTCAAGAACAGCTGCTAGGTAAATACCAATATTGTAACGGGGTTGGTGGCATATGTACGATATATATTTAAGAGTACAAGACCAGGCAAGAGTCATGATGGCTGATCGACACACCCGCGCACCTGTCAGCTTTTTCTGCCCTTCGTCTTCCTTCGCTTTAGCCCCGTGTACATGGACGCGACGGGGGTGGGCTGAGTTGAGTGGCGGGTTCAGCTTACCTCGACGCGCCCGAGTTTATATGAACTCGCACGGACGAGTTGAGGGGAGCGGTGATCGCAGCGACGCTTTGCGTCGAGGCGAGCCTAAAGCCCGTCTTCCGGTACCAGTTTCCACTCCTCCAAGCCTGCGCTCTCGCCTCTCGCCGCTGTGGGCTGCGGTTGTTTACGCAGTTGTCGCTCCGCCACCGCGATGGCTATCTTGGTATTTTTTCTCTGTTTTCACCAGCTGTACTTTATGGTTGTGTTGGTGTCTTGGCTAACACCGCACAACGCGATTGCAGCAGTGGTTCTGATGCGGCACAGCGCTCGCCGCAGGCGTATCCGCAGCCTGACGCACCATCCCCTGTTCACCCCTGGCTGGTCTCTCCAGGAATTCGCCGTGATTCATGGTTTCAACGCCTTTCATTTGTGTACCTGATGCTGTGGAAAATCCTTTGAAGCCCTTCACGCGAGTCATTTTTTGCAATAGTTGTGGCTTGTCGCTAATACAAATTAGGCGCCGCCCTGAACCTCGTTGAAAATTTTAAATTGAAAACAATAAGCAGTTTTTAAATGAAAATGACTAAAGACCCTCATCAATTGTTGGAACAAAGTGTACAGTTCCACCACAATTAAGTGCACCATGTTCCTCTTGCCTCATACGCTCACCCTGTTTGGCTAATCTGATTTCTGTGACATTTGGACTGGACAGTGAGATCCTTACACGATGAATTTTTAATCTGAGGGCTTGTGATTTCAATTGGAATGCAATATACATTTTTTAGTAAAATTTCTATCGGCTTACGTAAAAATTCATACGGCCGCATACCATTTTGTCATAAATTTACGCCTCTATTTCTATTGTGCCTCGTTTATGCTTAAAAATGAAAGTAATTTGCTATATTTTATATTTCCTTGCAGAATTGGAGTGTACAGCACCACCGACCAAGCGGGCCGTGTGGATGCGAGAACGGGGCCAAGATTGGTGGGACCGAATTGTGGCTACCAACTTCAATGACAATGACTGGCGGGAGAATTTTAGAGTGACGAGGCACAATTTCTGCCACCTTGTTGCTGCCGTGGCGCCATTCATGTCTTCTTGTGAAAACTACGTGCGGACCCCTGTTCCTCTCGACAAGAGGGTGGCTATGGCTCTCTACAACTTAGCAAGTTGTGAATATCGCATTGTGGCCAACCAATTTGGCGTGCACAAATCAACAGTAAAGAAGTTTTTTTATGTTTTGCCAATCGGTGACAACGCACCTGGCAAAGGAATATGTGAAGTTCCTGCGAACGCCAAAAAAGTTATTAGAAATTAAAGCGCCTGAAAGCTTTTCGTATCAAAGCGAACAAGGAGGTACTTACAGCCGTGAAGCGTTTCTTCAAATTCTTCCAACAGGTCCTTATTTGCTCCCACGTCCATGACAGGCCCTCTTCCTTCAAACATCTTTCCAGGTCTATGAATATGTCCTTATTTTTTTGCCGCTTGCTATCGAGCAAATCACTCAGTTTTTTCTCGTTGACTAAAGCTAGCAACGTCGTTATTTCATCATCTGTCCACATGGTGCGTGGAGCCCGCGAGGATGCCATCGTGCCTAGCGCGCGCGTGCCGGCCGACAGAGAAAGAGCAACGTCGGAGTGATGGGGACAGGGGAAGCGGAGACAGCGACGGGCGGGAGAGGTCACGAGCCGTCAACTCAGCGCGACCGGTTATACATGCCCTTTCTGAGCGCGGGGAGTTCGGTGAACTTACCCCCTGTCTCCGGGTCGACTGGACTCGCCGCGACGACTCTCCGCCCCGACGCGTCCGCTTATACACGGGGAGGGCGAGTCCAGAAAACCTGTTTATTTTGACTCAACGCGCCCTCGTCGGGTCAATGTAAACGGGCCTTTTATCGCCGTAACAACACCCCAGGGCGTTGGAGTGCCGTCTTGAAATGAGCGCGCAGAAGTGCGAGAGAAGAAGGGCTTCATGCGCGAAACATGTACAATGTCAGCAAACTGATTCGCTCGCTTCGGCATCTTTAAATTTCCCGGTGGTGCTAGTAGCCCCACAGTTTCCTTTTATTACTGCCGAACAATTCAAACGCCTGTTATTCTTAAAAAATCAACAAAACGTCTCTCCTACAATCGGAAGAATTTCGGCACTTGCAATTCACATGGAACACCGCAAAATGCCTTTCCTGTCAATGTAAGGTGACCCTCACAAGCTCTCGCTGTAGAGTTCTTCGGTTAAAATTTTATCTCAACAAATCAGGATTTCCATTATCTAACGTAAGTGCAGTTTGCAATGAACCGGAAACAATAGATCGCTTTCTTCTGACATGCCGCCGCTTCGCCTCACTGCGACGAATAATTTTTGAATGACCGATTGATATGCTCAGATTGCCAGTCATTACATCCACCCTATTATCGTTTGGAGCCAGTCAGTTGGGTGTGGGCCACAGTGCTATTCTGTCAGCGCTACATAAATTCATTCAGGCAACCGGAAGGATACGCTGCTAGTGGTACTGCCAGATATATCCAATTCTTTGTCCCTCTTCCTCATTCTTGTTAATTTGTTTTATATATTCTGGTTTATCGCATTCTTCTGAACTTTTTCACGTTTTTTAAAGGAACATTATTATTGTTCCTACTTAATTTCTCTTTCTTTTTTAGCAAGCGTTGTAAAAAAATATCTATTATGAGGTACAGTGTGGCCAATCCCCCATGTGGGTATGAGCCAAGATATCCTAGGCGACAA